ATCTCTGACACTCATCCCAGTCAGGATACAATGGTACTCAGGAAAATATTTCCCTCATACATTCCACTACCTACCGACAGGGGTTTCACTGGAATAAATTAAACCGAGAATGTGAAGTATTGTGGTGGGGTTTATCTGTTATTTATTGCTCTATCACAATCCACTCAAAACTTAGTGTCTTAAAATAACTATAATTCATTACTTGCCATAGTTTTGGAGCTGGCTGGCCCAGCTGGGTTGTTCTTCTCTATTTGGAATCATCAGGGGTTGCTCGTGCAGCTGTAGTCGTCTGGAGGCCTCGTGTATCTGTCTGGTGCTTGGTGCCGGCTCTTGACTCACATGGTCTCTCCAGAAGGGCAGCCAGGCCTCGTTACGTGGCGGCTCAGGCTTCCAAGAGTGTGAAGTGAAGCTGCAAAGCTCCTTAATGCTTCGGCTCTGGCCCTTACACAACAGCATTTACACTTCATGCTGTCAGTCAAAGCCAAGCATAAAGCCGGCCCAGAATCAAATGTGGGGGTAGGGCTGAGCTGCCACTTATTGATGAGACCAACTGTATAAATTCTGTGGCCATTTGTAATTCCCTGAAAGGGCATTAGACAAAATTCCATCTATAAAATGCCTACTAGCCCAAAGCAAATAACTTCGAAACGTTAATGGTTGTTGTTAGCCTTTTTCTTCTGAATAAAAACTACTTTTCTTGGGTAAGAAGGTGAGTCTTTCTTTCTTTTTTTTTTAGCTGAGCCATCTTGCCACCTGTTGGCAGCTCAGTAGCAGCTCAGCTCGGACCGGGCATCGAACCGCTGTTGCTCAGAGCTCACACTCTTGCGCGAGCTCTTAACCAACCAAGCCATTCGGCCGGCTCATGAATCTTTCTTTAGATGAACTGAAAGTTAATCAAAATATTTAAGACCAAAAAAAAAATCCATATAGGATTCTTTGGACTGGTATTAAATGCCTGAACATACATGTCATATAAGAATTTGAGGTGTTTCAGAGAAAATATCTGGTGGAAACACGATTAATTTGACAGACCTAGAGTAAGGAGAAAACAAAAGAAAAATTTAAATGGTATAAAATGTAAAAAGTGTCCCACTTACAAAGTTGAGAAGATCTAAAAAGTGTTATTACCTCCCTTTGTATTTTATCTGACTTTTGATCTTTCATTTCATATTCCCTTATTTTGATTTTTCGAGAATTAGAGAATAAAATCCCAGCACAATGCTCTTCAACAGAGACACTGATCCAAGTCCAGAGGATATGGCAACCGAGTCTCCCAGGTGTTCGGTATGTCTGTAATATTGTACACAGGAAACTGTATGTTTAAGAATTGTAAAAATTCAAACTATTGAGTATCCAGGGGCATGCCTGGGGGCCATAGAGAACACAAACATTTCATTTCACTGACTTACCCTTTCTTGGCACAGCAAAATCCAGCTCCTCTGTGGGCAGGGGAGCATGAATGCTAAGTTGTTTCCAGGATAACGGTAATTTGGTTGAAAGGGCCACTGACCAATCGTAGCCCACTTCCGTCTTAGTGCTTTTGCCATAGAACTGACTAGATTTGAAGGGAAACTGCACTGGGCGAAATGACTCAACTTTGGGCTCTCACTTGGGCCTCTTGGGCCTTCCCATTTAATGACCTAAGAAGCTTCTTAAGAATCATGGGATTAGTAGACAGAATGCTCTTTAGAAAATAAGATTTTATTCCTCCCATATAGGATTTTAGATAGGGAAGGGAACTCTGAGGTAACATTTATTGTCTTTTCTGCCAACAACTATACCCAAACACTCCACAAATGTAACTGTTTGCCTTGATAAACTATTCCAGGGAATAAGGACAATTACAGTATCCTCTGCACTGCTCCTGAACATTCCAATGCCTGTGGGCACCAGACTGAAGCTTTGATAGCTACATTATCTGGCTCCCTTTCTTCCTTAAAAGAAACGTAGCCTTACTCAAAACAAACATTGCAAACCTCCACAGCTGTCTCTCTCCAGGGTAACTCACAGAATTTTCGAGTTGGAAAGACCTTAAAGACTTTAGCATTCAAGTCGAACAGATTCGTTTTATAATGCAGGCTGTAAGTAATGTGTCTAATTAATACCTCTTTTGGGGAATGAATGTGAGACTTGGCCATCTGGTCTCTGTTCCATATTGCCACTGGGTTAGTCAGGCAACAGTTTCTTCCAAAGAGAGGTGCTTCTGTTTGCACGGTTCTTTGTTATCCTATTTCTTTTCGGGTTTGTGGGTCTGCCAGATGGTTCCACTTTCATCAATCTCATGACTTCTCATTTTTTCCCCCCACAGCTGCCAGAATTATATGCATTTCTTGAGAATTTTAATAAGGAGAGCAAAAAATCGAATCTCCTAAAAATTTACAGTATTTCTCCTAGTGAAGCGCAGAAAATACTTGGTCAAAACCAGAATGCCATGCCAGTCCCCAGCGGACCTAACGTGAGAGAAGATCCCCGGCCTGCTTTCATGGGCAAGGCGGTTAGAAAAGGGCAGGGCAGCCCAGAAGCCATGACTGAATTCCTACGCTGCAGCATACTGACCTGCTCGCTCGCTCCAGTGGACAGACTCGCCAAATCCCAGCGGAGACTAACCCAGTATGGGATCCCTCCTCCCTCATACACGTTTCCATCCGAGATTCTCACTGATGCCTCCAACTCTTTGGACCCCACAAAGAAGATTCAGAACACCAAGCTGGCCATTCCCCATGTCAAGCCAGAAAAGATTGTCTTTGAAGATACAGTTCCTGAATATTTATTAGTTGATCCAGGTAATCTAAACGGATAAAGCCATGTGGGAGAAAACAAGTGGAAATCTCACTGCAAAATTTACCTAGATTTTTATAGCTGGAATAGTCAAATATTGACCCATAGGAATTCTGCAGTTCTGGGGTTCATGTCTGATGCTCTTGTTGCCAGCGATGGCAACGGGAAATAGAGGACAAGGAATCAAACATTCCAGGGTCAAACCTCAGACTCATTTCCAAAAAGGTTTATTAGTTCGACACGGCATTTCACCTTTTATAAAATGAGCATTTGGTTAAACTTGGACTTTAAAGCACCCATAACTATTTGTTTCTTGAAGTTATTCAAGTGTTTACTGAATAATGGGGCAGGAGCAGTATCTGGGCCATAGGTAACCTGCTCAAATATCACCAAACAGGAAGGATGAAATAGACCAGCCCTCCGGATGGTTTGCTTACTCATTATTCTCCTTCCACTTCTTGCACTCATCTTGGCTGTTTGGCCTCCAGTTTTACACTCAAGCCCCTGCCTTAGGCCTTGTGTTTTTTGTTTGTTTGTTTTTAGGTTTATAATTTTTTTAGTCATGAAATAAAATGAAGGGAAGGGAAAGGGAAATGGCTGCTGAGTAGGGGAATATGCTGCATATCTTGTCTGTGGTTCACTGGCTCCTTGAAGGAATTGCAACTAATAATGACACTCCGCACTGGTAGGTCCTGAAAGAGTAGGGAACACGGCCAGATTCTAGCTGACCCACTGCCCTTATGTGCTCAGGACTTACAGCAGCATCTTGGAAGAAATGACACTAATAATCTATGTACTTCTGATCAATCAGTCATTAGGATCTTTTTCTTCTGTCTCTCTGCAGGCNAGGACAGAGTGGAACGGTGCGAGATTTCATCACACTACTCAGAACAGCACGTAATTTAAAACTTATGAATTGTTTATCTCTGGAATTTTCCATTTAATATTTTTGGACTGTGGCTGACCACAGGTAACTGAAACTGTGGCGAGTGAAACCGCGGATAAGGGCAGGTGGCAGTAGTAGTGGCAGTAAACAGCAAACGCTTATGGGAGCCAGGCCGTCTCGTAAACACTCTACAGGAATTAGCTCACTTAATCCTCACACAACTCTAGGTATTCGACGCCATACTTATCATCCCCACATCACGTGTGTGTATACTGAATACTGAGGTCAATGGTTAACAAGAAAGGCTTTGATTCTAGAGCATGTTCTCTTATCTACTGTGCTCAACTGGGGAAGATAAAAGGCAAGTGCAGCTAAACAAGATGGCAAATGATAAAGGCTGTTGAAGAGACACAGGGACACTGTCAGGGAGGCTCAGAGAAGCGGGAGATGACTACCAGGAGGAAACAGAGAATGTCCTGGAAACAGCTCCTGAGATGGGCTTTGAACGAGAGACTGCAGGTCTGAGAAGGGCACCAGAGGCCTTCCTGGTGTGAGAACATGGTGCAAGAACAGCATGAACAGGCAGGGAAATAGAAGAGCGAGAGCTGTGTGGGGGGAATGTCAGAAAACAATGGCAGGAATAGAACCACCTAAAATGGAAGCAGTCGGGGATACAGCCGGAGTTATAGCCTGTGGCTGGACCGAGAAGCCCTGACACTAGGTTAACAAGCTTGTACTTTGTGGGCCAGGGGAAGCCACGGCCGGTTTTACGCAAGAGCAAATCTTGATGAGAATGCTCTTTTGGGAAGAGTAACCCAGTGAGGTTTATTCAAAATAAGGTGGAGCCCAAGGGATTGTTAAGGCACTGAAACTGTTCTGTATGATATGTAATGGTGGATACATGTCATTGTACATTTGTCAACACTCATAGAATATACAACACAAAGACTGAACCCTAAAGGAAACTATGGATTGTAGGTATTAATAATGTATCCATGTTGGTTCATCAATTATAACAAATGTATCACAGCAACTCAATGTTAATAATAGAGGAGCTGTGTGTATGATGTTGTGAAGGGGCATGTGTGAACACTACTTTCCAACCAATTTTTTTTCCTGTAAACCTAAAGTTATTCTAAAAAAGAAAGCCTAGTAATAAAGTCTTGTGTTAAATTAGCAATACACTAGGATAGTTGCATTCTTAAGAAAACACAGGTTTTTAAACATTACATTATAAAAGCAATTATTTCAGGGCTGGCCGAGTGGTGCGTTGGTTAAGAGTTGGCTTGGACGCCAGCTCTGAGCAGCAGGGTCCCAGCTCGGATCCCACATATGAAGGCCAGTGACGCTGTGCCCTCTACAGCTAAGATGGTGAACAACAGGAAAGCCCACTAGGCACTTTGGTGATTGACCAAGAGCTCATGGAGTCCAGACAAACCCTGAGGTCCCTGTGGGGTCCCACCTGCTGCCTGACACTGCAGACTGAAATAAATACCCAGGTGTCCATACTGAATGAACACCTGGAGAAGAGCAAGGACAAAGGCTATTGCTCTAGAAATAAGAGCGCTGTCTCTGAATGTCTGTCCACACATGTCTTTCCCCAGGAAGGGAGAGAGGAAGAAATAAGGCAGA